ATTATTATTACATTTTCTATTTTTATAACCTCTGTAATCTCTGGGTGCATTTCACAATCACCATCACTATCCTGGTCCAGGTAGTTTATTCCTACTGCTGTACTCTTATTATTCAAGCATTAGTTGTCGTCATCATTCCACCAAGTTTCTGTGATAGCTATTATAGCAATATCCTCATTGAATACCAGGCATTCACTCATCTTAGTATTTAGATTTCTAGCGTTTGTATACAAGCACTTTTAAAATTTGTCACTTTTTAGTTGCCTGCCTTTATGTAATGTAATGGGCTGGGTCTCTTTTTTTTTCATTTGACTGTTTCTCTTCAGTTCCTCTATATACTTTATCAACATCCAGACTCTCCTCTTTTCTAGGATGTAAATATCATCCTCCATTACTGGATGTCTGTCCATACTGTGTGCTCCTGTACATCTGTTGGCTTCCTCCCAGGCCTTAGTTTTAAAGCTCCTGTAAAAGCTTTTTAATTTTACATGCAAGCAATCTGGTTCAATTTTGGTTTAGGTGGACCCCATCTTTCCTGTATCGGGTGCATCTTTCCCAAAGGTTCTCCAGTTCCTAATAAGCCTAAACTCCTGCTCCCTATATCATCATCTCATCCATGCATTGACACCCTTCCATTTTGCCTGTCTAATTGACCCTGCACATCGAACTGGAAAGGTTTCAGAAAATGCTACCATGGAGATCCTGGACTTCAATATCTTACCTAGAAGCCTAAATGTGGCCTCCAGGGTCTTCCTCCTTTCCCTATGTCATTAATACCTACATGTATCACAACCACCAGTTCCTCCCCAGCACTGTATATAATACTGTCTAGATTGGGGGAGGGATAGCTCTGTGGTTTCAGCATTGGCCTGCTAAATCCACGGTTATGAGTTCAATCCTTGAGGGGACCATTTAGGGAACTGGGGTAAAAATCTGTCTGGGGATTGGTCTTGCTTTGAGCAGCAGGTTGGACTCAATGACCTCCTGAGGTCCCTCCTAACCCTGATGTCTCAATAAATCCACAGCTTTCACACCCAGCAGGCAATTCACCATATGATTCTCCCAGTCATCACAAAGCCAACTATTTATGTTTCTAATGTTTGAATCCCCCATTATTATCACCTGTCTCTTCCTAATAACTGGGATTCCCTCCCGAAAGGTATCCTCAGTGTGAGAGGATGCCATGATATGGAAGGAAGGTGCCCACTATGGGACCATTTCCCTCTGTTCCAGTTTGATATTCTCCTTCCAAGATTTTCATCCTCCTAAACACCACAGAGGCTGTCAGACTGGGGCGGGGACCACTCTGCTGTGTCCCAGAAAGGCTCATATGTGTACTTCTGTCTCCCTTAACTCCTCCAGTTCAGCCTCTCTGGTTTCAAGAGCCAGTACTCAGTCTCTGAAGGCCATGACCTTTTTGCACCTGATGCACACATATGCTACCTGCCCAAAAGGTAATCCTACATGCTGAATTCAATGCAATAAACTGGATAGTCCCACTCTCCTGCTGGACTTCTGCATGCATTCTTTTTACTCCTGCAGCTTTTTTCTTTTGGGGGTTGTTGGGTTTTTTGATTCACAAAACACCATGACCAACAATATCACCAGGCGCTTATTCCAGGATTACGAATGGGAGCTGGATTTACATTTTTGTGACTTTAGGGTTTTTAAAGATGGACCTTTTTGCCACAGCCACCAACAGGAAGTGCAATACATTCTTCTTGAGAGGAGGGAGGGGTCCTCACTCACTGGGGGATGTGTTGCTCATTCCTTGGACGAAGGGCCTTCTCAATGCATATCCTGCACTACCGTTGATTTTGAGAGTGTTTAAGACGGTCAAATATGACTATGCCAGGGCCATTTTAGTTGTCCAAGGGTGTCTAAGACAAGTCTGGTACCCTTATCTGATTCACTTTGCCTCTTTCTTGGTGTTGTCTTTTTTGTCCATTCCCCACCTGTTGTCTTAGACCCCATTTGGACTCTTCAACCCAATCTGGGAATTCTTCATCTCAGAGCTTGGTTATTCAATGGTTCTTGGGGATAGAGGCTTCCCATTCTGCAGAGGTAAAACAAGTAGAGTTAAACAGTATGAAGATGTCCACACAAAACACTTAGCTTCAGAAATGGAAGGGATTTCACCACAGGTTTATCCAGTGATAGTTTTCCCCTGTTCACACTTTTTCTCTATGCTGGTCTTGATTAATCTTTGGAATTGAAAAAGTCAAGATTCTCCATGAGTTGTGTCAAGGTTCACTTGGTGGCAATAACTGACTTTCATTCCTCCGTTGAGGGATTCTCAGTGTTTCCTCACCCCCCTAACAGCAAGATTAATTAAGGGGCTGATGAACCATTTCTCCACCAATTAGAGAGCCCACCCTTTTATGTGATCTACACTTGGTCCTTATTTGTCACATGGACCCCCCCCCTTGAGCCATCACCTGACCATGAAGATGGCTTTCAGGGTGGTACCACTTCTGCATGAAGAGTTGGGGAACTAGGGGTGTTACCGGGCATGCACCCCACATTGGCCCGGCGAGAGCTGGGTGGGACCAGATGGTCCTAAGCTACTAATTAGGCTGCAAGGAAGAGAGTTAATTGATGAGGAACAGGCTCACCTGGACAGGACATGTGCAGTCTTTAGAAAGCTAGATTGCTGGAGAGGGGCATGGCAGCTAGGGAAGGGCAGTCACTCCATGGAAGGAAGGAGTGTTTGTGGCTGCAGGAAGGCAAGCTGCTCAGACTTCCTGAGAGGAGGTAATAGGGAAGATGGCGAACCCAGAGAACGGGGGAGCCAATTAGGTAGGAAAAAGCTCAGAGAAACAGCAGCAAGGTCACAGGAAGGACAGGCCTAGGCTATATATAATAGGGTCTCTGGGCTGGAACCCAATGTGGAGGGTGGGCCTGGGTTCCCGTACCAGACACTGGGTAGTGACTCAGGACGCTGGAGATGCCTGCCAGACAGCTGGCCTGGAAAGATTGATTTCCCCAGGAGGGGAGGGATTTGGTAACTTGTCCAGAGTACCAAGCCATGGGCTGGAAGTGGCAGCAATGAGAGCAAGAGAGGCTGCCTACAGAGAGAAGAGGAGGGTGCAGCTGAGAGCGACCAGCAGGAGGTGCCGCGAGTACATAGGGAACCTGTCACAGTGGGGCTTTAATTTAGTCCCTCCCATTACAGTATTCTTCAGGAATAAAGTTTCATTATGACCATATCCTAAGTTTTTCCCAAAGGTATCTTCTGAATTCCATATTGACCAGATTATTCAGCTTCCAGTCTCCTTCCTGAAACCATACCGGACCAGGGAGGGAATTGTTCTCCATGCTTTGGATGTCAGAAGGGCATTAACCTTCTGTCTGGAAAAAACTAAACCCTTTTGAAAGTCTCCCAGACTGTTTGTTTCATTTATGGACAGATCCAGGGAATCCACAGTCTCCATTCAAAGTTTCTCAAGGTGGATCTCTTCTGAGGTGCTAGCCCATTCTGCAAGATCCCAGTCTCTATCTAGAGCATTATTGAAAGATGTTCTGGTGGCTGAAATGTGTGGAGCAGCAGCCAACACTGTGCCTTGGTTCACGCAGAACCAGATCACATACTGCTATTGGCAATGAAGTTGTGTCTTCAGTATAGGACTCAAATCCAAAGCTCCGTTACCTTCCCTCCTTCATCTATGCTTCTGATTTTCATCTTGTGGGCCTTCATGGTAGAGAAGGAACTGAGGGCAGTTCCCCAGCACAGCTCGATGTATCCTTGGTACAGGGCACGAGGATGTCTGGAGCACATGAGGGGGCCGAATGGGTACAGCTACTGAATATTTCAAATCAAAGGCAAATGGGGTGCATGCACAACTGAAGTGGAGTACCCATAGGGATGCAACTCTTGAAGAACTGTAGTTACTGCACAAGATGAGTGATCTCTCCTTCTGTACAGCTTCTTTATCTTTGGCGCTGGTAACTTTTCTCCCCAACAGCATCAAAGAAAATCTGTAGTTTGAAGTAGGACCTACCTGTTTTGATCTCATCTCAGTTTACCACCATCATCCTAGGAATTTCAGGATGATGTCCCATCTGACTCAGTAGCTACTCACTTCCTTGCTTTCACATCTCCCATATAATCTTCAACCATGGATTGATTTATAAAGCACAAATCTTAATCCCAAATGTCCATTTGATAGTCAAGAGATTCTCTTTTGTGCAGCTGCTCATTGGGGATCTCCCCATCAAGTATTTTCCTTAATCCTGCAAAAGGCATAGGATATAAATTACAGGCTAGTTGTCTATTGAGTAATGCTGGAAATATGGCCAAAATGATTAAATCTGACCAGGTGACAAGGTAACAGGTGAAGATAAGAAATGTAAATGCAATGCAATGAATAAAAGGGGAGGCAGTAGAGGAATACAAAGGAGGGGGAGAAAAATGAGCTACGACGATAATTTTCAATGCAAGGGGAGCAATGTGGAGATACTAGAAAAAAGGATATTGCAGTAGTCAAGAGGCTATGGATGACTTTTAGCTTTTACCACCTATAGCTGCTCCTTAAAACTTAATTCCTACCTTCATCCAGCATTACTGTCTTGACTGGCAGCTGATACCTATTTCAAAAAAGCAATAGTGCAAGGCTTTACACTAAAAATGCTTAAAGGAGAAATGCTATTTGCTTGAAACTGACTCATTGAGTAGATTGTCCAAATAGATCCACCCTCCCCACTTCTTCAGAGTCTCTGATATGGATTCTAAAGAAGTGGAAGTAACTCTCTTCTGCAAATGAGCACATACATGACCTTACTGCTTCCTGCTTTCTAGAGGGTTTTGACTGTGATGCCAAGGTCATACACACTCTCGAGAGTATGACTCTGTGCTACGAAATTTTGAAAAAACAGTTATTTACCATTAACCTTTCTTTTCAACTTGTACCGTGGTTTCCACATTTAATAACCAGTCAGAATACAGGCTTTCCTAATGTCATCCTATTATCTAATTTATATCTATTTGTGAACTTTTACAGATATGTATAAACAGGACATGTGTCAATATAAAAATTCTGGATTACGATTGTAATTACACAAAATGCAGTAACAGAGGGGTAAGTAGGAAAGATTTTAACATCCTCAGATTTTCAGAGTATAATACGTAGAGCACTGAACTTAGTCTCTTACAAGTGATGCTTCACATTAGTCTTAATAAGATTATTTTAGTTGGACAAGATCTTAAAAAGCAGTAATTAAAGTATTTTGAGAAGGAATCTTATCAACTATACACCATCTGATGTAAAGCCACATATGACACATGATACAAAATATCATGGGATTTAATTGCCAATAAATTATTTCTATATGTTGCACTGACAGTCAGCTGGGGAGTCAGTGCAGAACAAGAAACTCAGGTGTTACATTCTCATAGCACAAGATTAAAGTTTCTTGGAGTCTTCAACAGTAGCCCTAAGTGGAGCATAATACATGATAGGATTTAGAAATTGTAGAGGGTTGCACACTCCATTGCTTCCAGAAGCAAGCTCAGTGCTCGCACTATCTTGCATCCCTTTTTTAGAGAGTGAACTGCTGCAGAGGGGAAGGGGGGAAAAAACCCAAGCAGCTGTCTCCAGTTAAGAAGTCCCCTCAGAGCCTGATGGGTATGGGAGAGTTTTAGACCTATATAAGCTAGATATAATTCATTCTAAGGAAGGAGAGAAAGGTGTGGTGACACTATAGAAGACTGAGATGCTGAAGCAGTACTTTTGGAAATAATTTTTCTAATACATTTACTAACGTTCACCATAATTTAGCTTCTATTCAAGTATTCCTTTATTAGTCTAAAGGCCAGCTGGTACATTCAAAATACAAATACCAGCATATACACATTTATATTTTTAGCAAAAAAATATAGTTATAAGGCATGCCCAAATATGCACAATAGGATCAGACTTGGGTGATACCTTCCCAGCTCCTGGATTAAGCAGTTCTTTTTAATAAATCAGTATATATAATCAATACTTTACTGCACCTGGTACCCAGTTAATGATGTTTTCTTTATTTTTAAAGAATTATTTACTGCATCTGAACCAAAACCTTAAATAAGATAATACTGTTATTTCCAGGGTCACTATAAATTTAACACAAACATCCTTTCTTCTCATTTCAGCCTCTTTTCTTCTCATTGTGTTTGGTCACAAGCTTTTGGCCTGTCACTGGCACTAACATTCAAATTCAATTTAAAACTGTAGTTCACCAAGTCTATATTCCTACAAGTAGCTAGGGAAAAACAGCTCCAGAAACTGTCACGAGAAGAAAGAAAAACCAATGGGGAAAAACTAAATAATCATACACCCCTTTTTAAGTATTAGTATGTTAATGATTATCTGGCAAACCCCCTGGTCCAAGCAAGAATCTGCCGGTTCAAATCCTCCATTTCTCTCTATAAGCTCCCTATGCGCCACCTTCCAATCCACTTCTATTTTAGGAAGTCACTGCAACCCCCCTGTCCTTCCCTCATACCAGGGGCTCTGTATTACCCCCCATGCTGTGCCTTTCCTCCCCCCACTCCACCTGTGGCAGGGGCTCTTTCTTCTCCCCCTTTCCCCGAAGGATCTGTTTCCCCAACAACAACCATGGAACAGACTTTGGGGAGGCTGCACACACAGAGAGAGGAAGGAAGAGAAATACTGTGTAGTTGAGTGTAGGACCACTTCACTTTGCTCAGCCAAAAATTGAGCTGATGTCTCCATCTGACAGCAAAGATTATAATCTCCAGGACCACAGAAAGTGATTAAAAAAAACATTTTCAACTATCATTATCCCCTGGGATTCCTTGGTTTACTAATGGATACAGTAAAACCCATATTCCTCACAGAGGGGTGTGAGGCTTGCAAATATCGGTTAACTAAAGATCTCTCCTGCTGACATAGCTAATGCCGCTCATAGGGGTGGTTTAATTATGCTGGCAGAAGAGCTCTCTCCTGCTGGCAAAGAGCAGCTACACGGGAGACCTTACATTGGCACGGTTGAAATGGTACAGCTGTAAGATTCATAGTGTAGACATAGCCTAAGTCTATCCTGTGCTAACTTTAAAGGAGAAATTTGTTCTGCAGGATGAAGGGTTGTTATTTGTAGGTAGTAGCTTAGCTTACACACCAAAATTAATGGGAGGAATCAGGAAGAGATGAACATTGTCATTCATTCCAAAAGGATTTGAAATAACTGAGAAACAGCATGACTTCACTTGCCCTCATTCCAGTGAAATGCAATATCTATGTATATCATTGCAGCAAAGTTTTAAATATCGCTTCAATGGCAGTGGAGTCACTGGGATTCCTGGTAAACTGTCCAAAGTCCCAGCGTAACACAGACTAGATAGGATACTTACTAGACATAACTATAAGGCTTGGAGAGCTGGGACTAGAACCCTGATCCTCTGACTCCAAAAAAATCTAAGTCTCTACAGCTTGTGATAAAGGAGAGCTCCTGTAGTAGCTACTAAAGGAACTGTGAAGCTCATTAAAAAAGCAACATGAGACAGTCAGTCCATTACTTACCCATCAACCAGTTAGACAATGTTCAGCCTGAGCAGCCGACATTCTCAGGAGTTGGTGTCTAGCAGTCAGATGCCCGTCTGTAAGGTGATCTATGCAGACCACAGATGCAATTACTATTTAAATCAAACACACACAAATGGGAAGCTGGAACAAGAAGCCCAAGATATACGTGCCCTAGTCTTAGCTGCACTGTGAGGCAGTTAAACTCTTCAGTGGGCTGAGTGTAAGAGCCCAGCCTCTAAAGATCACCTTAAGTACCAGGCTAGAGAAGAAGATGTGAGGCTGTAGCACATTAGCTAGCTGAATGGTACTGACAGAGGCAGCCATAAGAGATTAAGGGGTTCAGTAGGAAGCAGGTGCTCCTGGGAAGAAGCACGGCTTCTGCCCAAATGGAGGGGAGAGGATTTTGTGTGTGGATTGGAGCCTGAAAATGGGACAATCACTCTCTTCTTTAATACCCTGAAGAAAAGAGGACCCAGATTATTCAGCTGTCCTGATTAAAGGGAATGGAGAGATTTTAATTGAGAAACCTTAGAAAAAATAAATATGGTGCATGAAATTCTAGTAACAAAAAATATTTACTAAGAATGTTTCTTAAAACATAGTTCTACAGTATAAAAACCATCTGGCTGATTTCTGGCCTGACCTGAGGACACTGTATTACTGAGCATTAACCTGAGCTGAACCAACTTCTAACCATGCTTTTTTGGCAGAAACTGTCATTTATCACATATTTGTGCATCAACTAACACAATGGGAGCCCACCCTTCCTCTGTCGTTTAAATTATAATAACGAGCACTGTGTCCTCACCTCGATTTACTTCTAGAAGTAGAAAATCTGTTTTATAATCCAATGGCTTCTTCTCTACTTTACGTCAGCCAATGAGCCAACACCTGCTTTTCAAATTGCATTCCTAGCACCACATGTTCAAGGCTTACAGGTTAATACAACCAGCTTCCCCTGGGTATGAGAGTGTGACGGGACAGACCGGTCCCGCACGGGCGCAGCAGGGGTTAAGCCTTCCTTCCTGGCAGAGGAAGCCCCGCCCCGGAAGCCCTGCTGGGCATGCTCCAACTGGAGGCTAGGTATAAAAGCCTGCAAAGCTGCTCAGTTGGGGGGCTGACCACCGGAGGAGAAGGATGCACACTGCCAGCTCCTGAGGAGGGACAGCCCACGCTCCAAGCTCCAGGAGGCAGCCTAGCCGGCCCGCACCCTGCATCTCAAACAGAGGACCCGCCAGAGGGGAACGGACCGGAAACCATGTCTTCGGAGGAGACCGCAACATTGAGGGTAGGAAGTGACCCAGGGGAACTTTAGGGACCAGCCGCATTAGAGCAACACTGACGATCGGCATACTGCGGCCGGATCCCCGCCAAGCCAACAGCAAGGGGAACCCCGCCATTAGGAGAGCCCTGGGTCGGGACCCAGTGGAGAGGTAGGGCCCGGGTCCTCCTACGCCCCTGGCCATTAGGCCACACTACCCTGCTACTGAGGGGAGTTATATGGACTCTGGCCGTTGGGCCACACTACCCTGTTACTGAGGGCGAGATGATGGATGGGACACCACCAGGCAGGGGTGCTCCACTGGACAGAGCTAATTCCCAGAGACAACCAGTTGGCGGCGCCAGGTGGTGAGTCCCAACCCCATTACACGTGGTGGAGAATGCAGGCAGTGATCAGGGCCTGAAGTAAGGACCCAGAGATCCATGATGGAACCGGAAAAAATTCTGAAATGGCTCCTGGAGAACCAACAGCAGCAGACTGTGCAACAGCAGCAGCAGCAAACCCAGTTGCTCCAACAGCTGGCAGCCCAACAACAGCTGCAAGCGGCTCAGCAACAGGAACAGAAGCAACAGCTGATCCGGGAGCTGAACGCCCAACAACACGCCAGTCAGGAACGACTGTTTCAGCAGATGGCTACGCTGATAGGGCATGCACCAGGTCTGCCCCTAGGCGCAGCCGGTGGCAGCACGGGTGATGGTCTCGGAGGATTGCCAGTATGCCTAACAAAGATGGGGCTGGGGGATGATCCCGAGGCCTTTCTGGTAACATTTGAGCGGGTGGCAACCGCCGTGCAGTGGCCCAGCGCGCATTGGGCCACTATTCTAGCCCCCTACCTGACAGGCCTGGCACAGGCCACATATCACAACCTCAACCCGCAGGAGGCGCAGGACTAGTCCAAGGTCAAGGTGGCCATTTTGGATCAAACTGGGATTAGCCCCGAGACCTACTGCCAGCGGCTCCAACGAGAGAGATATGCGCCAGGGGCTAGGCCTCGAGTTGTGGCACAGCGCATTTGCGACCTCTGCTGGAGGTGGCTCGAGCCAGAATACCAGACGAGTGTCCAAGTAGCCGAGACGGTGGCTTTGGAGCAGTTCTTGGAGATTCTCCCTACTGGAGGGAAGGAATGGGTGCAACGGCACCGCCCGAAGACCCTCGCAGAAGCAACCTCACTGATGGAGGATTACCTGGCTGCCGAGGGAGAACAGAAGATTGCCTCCAAAGGGGGGACGCAGGGGGAACGGAATGCGGCCCCAGCACTGGGACCCCGAAA